TTAAACCTTTTCGGTTGTGACAACGGTCACCGGCAGGATTGGGCATTAAGGTGTATTGGGCACTTTGGACATTTGACCATGTCTGAAGGGCGAAGGATCCGATGCACTGGACATCGGCTCCCAATGGGCTGCGATTTTCACACAACACCCGGCTGCTTTGTTAGTCAGGCCTTGGCCAGCCGAAGGCTCCGGCTGTGAATTCCTCAAGAAAATTCACCTGACTTGGCCTAGGCAACCTAGCAGTATGCAGCCCACAAGCCAATCATTGAACATTGTTCTTTCTTGTACCGTAATTTCCTTGGCACATAGTCTGTTCTCAGACACGTATGAAATATAATAATAAAATATCCACGTTAAACATGTTTAAAATTTTGATAATCAATCGGAGCATTATTGGTGCCTCATTCACCGATTTTCGCAGTCTGAACCCGTTTAGTTTTCTTCTCCGCGAACTAGACAGTTCAAAGTTTAGTTCATGACCAGTTCTGAGTCGTGAACGAATCAATGATTATCTTTGAAAGGATAAAATCACCGATGAAAAAATACAATTCACTTACGAACAACCTTGAAAGTCATGTTTATTCTGGCATATAAGCCATTCTCGTCCAGAATACACGTCAAATGATGCTCGCCCAGTGGTATATTTTTTTTGAGTATAGCCCGATTTTTGTACAGCTCTAAGCCAGTCGGATATGGTGGTACAAATTTGGGCTGTACTAAACTGGATATCCAGAAGGGTTGGAACACCTGACAGAAATAGCTGAACGAATCCCCTTGACGATGAATTGTGTGATTGGCTCCGAAAATCATCAGTTTCACATCGTTCGGGGCTGCGTGGAAAAGTGCAGATGGATCAGAAATCAGATAACGAGCATAAATGAGATTAGTCTGTGAGTAGTTTTGTGATGTGGCGAGATATAATGAAGCTGGTTAGTATGCAGGGCTATGTATGCGTATTTGTATTTTTATTTGTATCACTTGTGTAAGCATATATGGTAACATTTCAGTTGAAAATATACACTGTTCATCGCACAGAATGAAATAATAATAATAATAAAAACGAAAGGTAAAGAATGTCGGTGATGTTTGTTTTCTGTACAAAACTTTTGACGTAGTTCACCTGAGACCTGTTCCTTTTTGGTAAATAGTCGGGCCAGGTAGGCTACGGGGGAATTTTTGTCAATGTTAATGCTAGAGCGTAGATGTCGAAATGAGGAGCATGTGGACGGATGGCAACAACAAGACGATAGATCAGGGTGTAGTGGATGAAGAGGGCCATTGAGAATCTTATGAGGAAATTTAAAATAAGACTTGATGTGAGTATCATTGAGATATGTGATTATTGAATCAATCGGAATTAATGATGCACGACTGATGATGACCAAACCACGGTGAATTGTTTTGAAGTCTTGTTTTAAAAGACCGGGAAACACTACAAGGGAGCACAGAGTAGAATGGGTAAAATGCATTGATGACCGAAGGATAACAGAACTGACTGTGGGGTTCAGAATTGCCTGAGTTTGCGTAACTGAAAAGACAGGCGTCTCAGTTTTCCCATACAGTTGTAAGTATGTGTGGACCAATGAATATTACTGTCAATGGTGACACCCAGGTGCGTGACTGAAATCATTCTGGATACAGGTTTACCGTTTAGGGTAGCAGAGTTCGTTGGAAATGTGGAGCGGGAAAGACTGAAAATACACTTAGATATGTTAAGACTGAGACCAGATTGGTCAGAAAACTGTTGGATGTGGGATAGGTTTTTAATAAAAGAATGAAATTTCGAAGGAGATGAAACTGTCATACATAAAACAACGTCATCTGCATACTTCTGGATGTGCGCAGGGAGTATGACCGAAAGAACACTAATCAAGGCAGAAAAAATATATGGAGATAGAACAGCACCTTGAAGAACACCAGAATTATCAACGAGAGGTTTTGATGTCCTCCTTCCTAATTTGGCGCACTGGACCCTCTCTGTGAAATAGTCAGCAAGCCATGAGAACAGTTGTTTTTGAATGTCAAAAGATTCAAATTTGAAACAGAATAAAATGCAGACGAATAGTCAAGAAAAACATAACGGACAAACTTGGCCAAATTGTTCAATGATCTGCTGACAAACTGCATTAGAGTGGACACTGCATCCAATGTAGATCTCTTTGGTTTAGATGCAAACTGAAGGTCGTGAGGAATTGTGGTGTCTGACTACAACCGACTCAGGATGGCTTTTTCAGTTACCTTCAGTGCTGCTGAGGTCAGCGCAATAGGACGAAACCGTTTCGCAAGAACAGTTGGGGACGTGAATTTGGGGAACGGAATAATGGTCACTGGACGCCAAGAATTAGGAATCGACCGGGAAAACAGGGACTCATTGACGACAGATGTCATCGTGTTGGTTAGGGAAGCTGCTCTAAATTTCAGAAGTGCGGGAGGAAGACCATCAGGGCCTGCAGTTGAAGCTGCTTTGCAGGATCGAAGAAGCTTAAAGATTAAATCATTGGAAAAAGGCACTGAACCAAATTAAATGCATAAGAGTGAGGGAATCTGGCTCTCATTTGAAGGGGGGATGAAAGCGGCGTTGAGGCTGTTGACATCATTTGATAGGAGTATTTGAAGGAATATGAGAAATTCTTTATGGGAATATGGGTGAAAACAGAAACAACACCGTAACTTACAAGACATTCAGACTGATCTAGTTTAATGTTTACGTTTATGGATAAAATGGCTCATATTTTCAATGCAATGTTCATCACATTTTCGGAGTTGATGCAGAATGCTTGTAAGGTGTAAGACGTCTGCAGAAACGAACAGTAAAAGGTAATCAGTCAATAAACGATAAATTCAAGCAGACTTACGACTAGGTTACTTGACGGCAGCGTGCAGAATATTTCAAACGTGGCGTGTGAGACTTGTGAAATTGTGATACAGTCAAACCAAAAAGAAGTGTACAGTTATAAACACAGAAAAACAGAACAGTAGCAAAAGTTACCGAAAAAATAGTCGTTCAACTTGGGTAGTTTGTCCTTTGGAATGGAATATTTAGGGTAGTGCAATCACTGGATATTGCCATTTATAGTCAGACTACTTGAACATTTATAGTAGTCAAATTGCAAATGCAGCACCTTTCAAATTATCTAGAGAATTTACAATGTCTAACCGCATTTAAATATTTATTTCAAATGGGAATTCGTCGTGTATATAGCAAATGAAGCGTGAAGTGAAAAGCTCAGTTCACGCTTCATTTGCTATATATACGACGAATTCCCATTTGAAATTGTACCAAATCCTCCATTACTCACATAAATTTTTATTCTGCCCGAAATAATAATGCATAATGAATATCGTTTTATTCCACAATTGGTCATGATTTATTTGAGTCCGTTGTCCACAACACAGACACAATTCATTAGATGGTAAGTGAAATCGGTCGAAATATAAAAAAATACACAGCCATACACGCTCGTAATACCTAATCGAAGTGAATGATTTTATCACACAGTTACGAAACAATATTATACAGTATCATCATAGTTGAACATCAAAACGAATAAGTATTTGTTTGCGATGGAAATCTTTGTGCTGAGTGACAAAACCCTTTGAACAACAGTTTTAAATCTAGGTAGACTAACCAGCCTTATATATACATCTTCAATCGTTGCAGGGACTTGAACCGTAAATCGTCTGCTGGAGAAAAATATAGGCGGTTTATTTTAAATTGAAACGTTTCCGAAAAATATCACGACATTTCTGAACCCTTCTGAAAAGTGTACAAAACTTGGTCATTTTTGATTGCGAGAAACTCTTTTTGAAAACACTTCTCGAGTGCTATGCTTATTGCGGCGGTGAACAACGTTGTGTGTTGCGAGCCGCAAACAAAACACCAAAGATAACATCGAATTTATTTATGCAGCATTCATATCTTATATCCTTTTATCCCACTTACTGAGATATTTTATTGTTTTCATCACTACAGCTCGAGTATAGTGCTTTTAGATTTTAACATTAGAAACGTGGAATGGTGCGGTACGATTTGCTTGGAAAGCCTAAAATCTCCTTACGATAAAACTTTAGTGTTGTCCCGTTTCGTTAGACTGAACCCCTTTCCATAGTCACTGACAAGACTGCGGAT